ACAAGACATTCTTTATATCTGGGCATTAAAGGTATAGTTTCTTCAAAAATGTAAATTCTGTCAAAATCAGTTTTTAATCTTTATCAGTATCTTTCTTCTAATGAACACAAAAGAAGGTATTTTGAAGAATGTACCCAAAGTATTTGTTTTTCTCTACTGTGTCTGCCAATGGCTACCAATTTACAGCATTCTTCAAAATATCTTCTTTTGTGTTGAACAGAAGAGAGACACATGTTTGGAATAAGTTGAGGGTGAGTGAAAGCGTCTCCTCCTCACCTGTTCTTGCTGGAGGGCTGCTGTCGTGTAGAGTGCACTTTGACGGCTGCTCGGTGTGAAAGTCTGGGTGAAGACTGAGCGAGGCGAGGCGACGGCTGAGGGGAAAGGGTAGTGGGTGGAGGGTTTACGCGGAACCCTCTTGAGCAGCCGACTGACCCACTTCTTCTGCTCCTCTGTGGAGTTTGCCAGCAGCAGCATCTCTTTCGCTGTGGACATGTCGTAATTCACTGGAGGACAAAAACCAAACAACAGATTCTTTTCAGAGTTCAAAACTCCATGTGTTAAAATGCATTTTCAAAAGCTTCGGTTTATATCAACAATTTTATAACAAGCAATTTTTAGCAAGCAATTAAACCGATCTAAAATGACAGTAAATACATTAAAATGTTACTAGAATCTAAATCCAGTAAAATTCAGCTCTATTTAATGTCTTTTAAAAAGCTTCTAACAGTTTCCACTGGAATATTTAGCACCACAACTGTTTTCAGCATTGATAATAAGATATTTCATGAACATCATAGTAGTATATTAATTTATGAAGTATAAAATGTAAATATATAATAAAGGATCGAGCAACATTGAAAAAACAAATGCTGACAATTCAGCTTTGACATCACAGGAGTAAATTAACATTAACACAAACAAAAAAAAAACATTCAAATATTTTAAAATATCATTGGCTGAAATATGCCACAATTTTTTTGATGTTAATACATTTTGGATCAAATACTTGCAGTCTTGTTTAACATGAAAACTTTTTTTTCCATGTAGTAATAAAATACATCAATACAAACATATGATTTATTATTTTATATGCGGTTCTGATACGTTTTATATTTGAAAGCAAACTACCAATTTGTATAAAAAGAAGCAATTCACATTATTATGTGTATAAATATAATTTGATAATATACATGCAGCCTTGCTAACGTCAAAAGAACTTAAAACAACAGTAGAATAAAAGTAGAATATTTCAGTTATGACTAACATCCATAAATACACGCTTACAGTGCTCAGCATATACAGTACGAGTACACCCCCCCTCCCCCTTTCCTATGAGATGCATATGTTACATTTATTTAGTGTCACTTACAGCCTGCATGTCGTTGATTTCTCTCTGGTATTTGATGATGGAGTGGTTAAGCTTTTCTTTCTCCGTGCGGAGCTGCAGCTGGAGTTGTCTGATCTCCTTCTCCTTCCTGCGGATGTCTGTGTTGTTGATTTGCTGTGGCCTGCCGTCCGTCTTCTTCATGACCTCCGCCAGCTTGTTTATAGCCTAAAATACAGACATCTGATATTAAAATTCAGCCGAGACATGCAAAAAAAACAGCTATTTTAAGCTATGACGTAATCAACAGTTACAAAGCTGTGATAAAAAAATTCAAAATGCACCTGAATCTTGAGTGTTTTCTCCACCTGTATCTGCTTCTCATACGACACTGTGAGAGATTTCATCTGTTTCTCTTCTTCTTTGATCTTCTCCAGCTCTGTTTATTAAATGTTAAAGCATGGTAAATGAACATTGTACCATCACTCTATTTATATTATTATAGAAGTCAGCTCACTTTGCTGTATGTGCTTCAGTTTATTGTTGAGCTCCTCTTTCTCACTGGCCAGGTTGGCAACATCCACAGTCAGCGTACGGTTTGACTCCTCCAGCTTGTGTAGAATAGAAGAATAATAATGAATTAATGTTCATCTGGAGAAGATATTTTTTATGTTCTAAAAGAAATCTCTTCTAGTCTGCAGCTGTTTTCTACAGTTGAAGTAAAGGGTATTAGCCTGTGAAATTTTTACAGAGCTAATAATTTTGTCTTCAATTGTATGTGAACATTTTGTAACATTTTTTATTTATTCCTGTAGTTCAAAGCTGAATTTTCTGAAATATTACTCTAGAAATCATTCTAATATGATTATTTGCTTTGTTTAGAACAATTATTGGTGTTAAAGAGTTCATATTTTATCGATGAAAACATGTTGATTCGCTTGGTGCTTAACATTTTTGTGCATATATCATATTATATCATATCACATCATATCATATCATATCATATCATACCATATCATATCATATTATATCATATCATATCATATCATATCATATCATATCATATATACACAAACCATCAGGAGAGATTTTTTATAGATATGATTTTATAGTTTATAAAGTTAAAATTCAAAGAAATAAACAGCAATTTAATGTCCTGCTACATTTATTATTCATAATTTAATATACACATGACGACAATTTGTTATATAATTAAAGATAATCATGCTTATATATACACTATAAATGAGGAGGATTTCTCTCCTCCTCAACTCCTGGGTCTGAATGCAAACACAGTGGATAGAGGTGCAGCAGGTCTCTTGGCCTATCCATTTCAACCATTATCCCTACTGGTAATCCGGAAGATTTTAAACATAGGTGGATATAGGCGATATGTCTGAATGGGAACGAACTCAACTGAAAAAAGTCTGCCATTCTACAAATATCATAAAGCTCTCCCAACAAAAATGCCATGAGCAGACGCCGTCTCACCAAGTTATTGGGTCTCACAGCTCATAGGATATGAAAACTCAGTCTATGAATAATAATGAGAAACTAATGCGTCATCACTCCACTAGCAGATTCGTGCTACATCATTGATTTTGATCCCGCTCCAAAAATTATTTTAAACCCGGAAGATGAAATTAGCTGACAAAAGTTCAAAATGATCCAGATTTATCCACAATTAAAGCTGACAGGTGCTAACATTGTCTTAACTGATGTTCAACACACACAAATCTGTTCATTTTTTTAAAGTGCTCCAGGGTGTCTTGAACCTTTAAAAACCAATTAATACATACATTAGATAAGATTTTTATCGTTAATATATGATCAAATCTAAAACTTTATGCAGTTCATACATTTTACTTTTAACACTCTGTACACAAAAATCAATTTCAGCAGCATTCATTTAAAATAAAATCTTTTGTAACATTAGAAACGTCTTTAAAATGGCAAATCATATAATGTGTGCTTGAAGTATTTTCAAACAAACAAAAACAAAATTCTGAACAACTAAATCACAGGAATCTAATCGATTTTCAAATATATTCACATAGAAAAAAAGGATCTAAATACTAATTCCTAGTATAACTGTTTTTATTCTATTGTGCCAATTTGAGCCAACTAGTACCAATTGAGCATTATGTCAATGCCTCAGACTGGTTTCCTGAACATGACAATGAGTTCACTGTACTCAAATGGCCTCCAATAGTGGACCTTTGGGATATGATGGAAAGGGAGATTCATATCATGGATGTGCAGCTGACAAATCTGCAGCAACTTAGTGATTCTATCATGTTAATATGGACCAAAATCTCTAAGGAATATTTCCAGTACCTTGTTGAATCTGTGCCGCGAAGAATTAAGGCAGTTCGGGAGGCAAAAGGAAATATGATACTATTAAGGTGTACCTAATAAAGTGGCCAGTGAATATATACTGTATTATGTGACTAAATAGTTTTGGATTTATGTTTTTTCCCTCTAATTACCATTTTGCTTTTTTCATTATTTCCATCTCAGGTTTGTTTAAAGTTTGTTTTATTCCCATTATTAAAGTCAAAATACTTATATGATGCAAAAAACACAATTTACACACACACACACACACACACACATACACAAACACATATATATGGATGGTATTACTACAAACCATCTGAATAAATAAACCATTGTGTATTGTATTTTTATTTATTATTCTTAATAGTTTTTACCCATTATCTTTTAATAATCATATCAGTTTTCTTATTTGCGTACTTATTAAAACTAAGTGTGTGTAGGTATATATTCTATATATGTATTACAAAATCACTTTAAGATTGTACTCATTGTTTATGTATTCTGCAATACTTTGGCAATACTTAACAGCTTTGACTAGCTCTTTTGATTTAAAGTTATTTAAAATAAATAATGATTTCAATAAGGAAATGTATTTAATGTGATTTTATTGTAGTAAAAAGTTACCTTTCTCTGTCTGCACCATAACAAAAGCCCTCATTATTTCAGCGTTTCTGCAGGTTTCATCAAGTCAAATTTAAGACTTTTTAAGATCATTTTAAGACCATTATGAATGAAATTTTAGATCATACATGTCTAAACACTAATGGTTTTTGGTTAATGGCCCGGTTGGAGCAATGAAATTGAAAAAGGAACACATGTAGTTATTTCTTTACCACATATTTTAATGAGTCAAAACAAGAAAACTCTAGTTTGCATCTGATCCAGTTACTATGACCATTTATGTGAAGCTGCTTTGACACAATCTACATTGTAAAAGCGCTATACAAATAAAGCTGAATTGAATTGAATAGTTGTGTAGATTTTTTTCAACATGCCTCTTTTTTAATTACAAGTTTAACATTGTTTAAAGTATATTTATTATGAAGAAAACTACACAAAAAAATCAAA